GTTATGAAAATTATATTCTAAGATGATCTTACACTAATATGATAGAGAAAAATACTAAAGCAGTGAAGCCAGAATTAGGCAGTTAGTATAGATAGGTAAATGGAGTCAGGTTGGATCAAGGAGGCCAACTTTGAGTCCTGGAAGTTGGAGACGGTCCCCTGAAGGATTGAAATATTAATTCCTTCCAAGTTCTTCTTCCACCATCAAGAAACTGCCCCTGCTCCAACCTGTTGTTAAGGTAACCTGTCTCAGGAATTGCCCCTCCCTACACAGAAATAAAGTTGTTAACGTGTCCTGGGTTGCACCATACTGCCCATCTCCCTTCAACCCACCTGTTTCCCACCTTTTGGCCATTCTACTGAGCATTCCTGGGCCTCATGAGCATCACTGGGCTTAGCCAAGGTACTCTGGAAGGAGAAAGATAAGAGGAAGAGGGCAGGAGAAAAAAAGGAAGCCTAAGACATATAAAAATGGCTGAACACCTCGATTCTTGAGATATCGGGACACCTGCTATGGCCCCCTTCTCCCTCCCAGGATAAGTCTATTTTACCCCTTTTTAAATAAACCCTGCTTTATATGCTTGCCTCGACATGCTTTTCTAATGTTCAAACTTCAACTTGTGAGGAAGCAGAATTTGTCACCAGCAGTATCAGCAGGAAACTACATAATAAAAGTCTATTGCAATCTATGTGAGAATAATAAAGATTTAAATTAAGGTATTTGCCAGGACATTTTAGTAGGAAGAGTCTATACTATTTGGTGCCAACACCATATGTGCAGTGAAGACAAGTGTACCCTAACATGACTACCGCTTCTCTTGGTTGTGCAAAACAGAAGACTATGGTGTTATTTACTGAGATAATTATACAAAGAAATGAAATACAAAGAATGAAGAATTGTAAATTGCAAGTGATAAATAAATCCATTTAACTAAAAATTGTGTGTCAGTGATTCTTTGTGCCACCCATTAGAACACTCCCTGTAAATGTCCATTTAACTATATTTGACATTTCTCAAATATTTCCCCGTCAGCTATCATGTTTTAGTAACTTATACCTTCAAATCTCCTTGTTTCGACTCACTCATTGGATAGTCTACAAACAACATGTGTGGCATTCTGTATCCCATGAAGTGCAGATTTTCTGTGGTTTGCTGGCACGTTAACTTTTTTGTTCAGATGTCCATTTTGCTTCCTGTGGATGATGCTGATTTTTTCTAGCAATTGCCAAACTGTACTAAATCTTCCTGTTGCTGCCAATATTCTGGATATCTCAAGAATATCTGTTGAAGCATTATTTTGCACTAAATTCATGTTCTATTTGATGCAGAAGTTAAAAGAAAGTGTTTTCTCCCTCTGAACTTGAATCCT